AATCACTGGACCAACCTTCTAATAGAATACATCACATTTGAAAAAATAACATATACTAACAAGAACATTATTTCTAAATTTCTTGATATCTGGAACCCATTCCTAACTCATCTTCATATACATCAGTAGCCTGGGACCGGACCAACGCACTTCCCCAATCACATGTTTACAAATTAATAATAAAATATTATCTGTGTATTACTGTACAGCACTATAATAGATGCCCCTTATATATAGGTATGAATGTGTGTGTATATATGGATGTATTTGTATGTATGTGTACGTGTATATAAATGTTTGTATATGTGTATATGTATAATATTTGATAAGCTGTATACTTTTATAATCTGCATTTTATCACTATTTGCTATATATCTTTATAGGGTGGTGGTAGTATGGAAGATGAAATATATTATTATTATTATTATTATTATAGAATTATGAGCCCCCCATTTCTTTTCTCTCTATAAGTAACCAGTCAGAAAATACTACGTATAAATATTAGTAACATTATTTTCTATTTACTATTATTATTTATTTTTATGTAATTTTATTTATTTATTTTATTTTTTTTAACTGGGTCGGGCGTCTGGCCCGGGTGCTGTTGGTGGGCGCGGCTAGCACGCCCTGTTAGTGATTGGACTAAATGGCCCTTCCCCTTCACTACCTCTAGCCAAACCCCTCCCATCAAGTAAAATAATTCTTTTTAAGTGATACCAGGGTTGGATGTGGTGTCTCTGGCTAGGGAGCTAACCAGTGTACGCCTCGGTCCAAACCATGGGACAAAAACAAAAATAAAAACAAAAAAAAAAGGGGGGGGACCAACCACCAATAACACTTGGCTGTGTCAGGTCACAAACAGACTAGGGGAGCTTGGTTTGGAGGTGCCTGTTGTGGTCCCCCGGTGGAAAAACTCAATGTAGCCCAGAAGTATAACGATGGGGGTTGGGTGTCACTGAAGGTGGTGGAGGGGAATCGTGTTATTGAATCGAGGGGAAACATCTGTGTCTGGGGGGCCTGTTGGTTGCGCTCACTGGCAGTTCTGGGTCAGCCCTCTGACCCAGAGTTTAGAGCAGATGTGCAATAAAAATAAAATTAAATGTATTCTTATTGTCATATTGCTATTGTCACTACTGTTGTAGATTGTTATAGCCTATATTACTATTATTGTCATGAATATTATCATTATAAATACTATCATTGATACTGCCACCACTAACACTAATACAGATACACATATATATATATATATATATATATATGTATATATTTCTTTGTGTTTGTCAAAGTCTGTATCATATCCTCTACAACTATTCAGATACTACCGAATTGCATCACAGAAAGGATCTCGTGTGCCTACATATACCACTTTGTCGATAACTGTGTGGGGCTGTTGTGAGTTTTTCTGTTCTCTGTTGTTTTTTGTTTTTTTTGTTGTTTTTTTGTTTTTTGTTTCCCCTTTCCTACTTCTGTATTGTAGATGTGTCTCACTGAATCTTACCTGGTATGTGTTACTGTTTTGTTAACCTGCAATAAAAAAAAAAAAGAACCTCCGTCTATCAGAACCTAGTGTCGTTAGATCCCGCGTGCAGCAAAGTGTGTGCTAGAGATGTGTTTTTAGTCTAGATTTGAACTGACAGAGTGCGTCTGCTTCCCGGACAATGTTAAGAAGACTGTTCCAGAGTTTTGGTGCCAAATAGGAAAAGGATCTCCCGCCTGCAGTCGATTTTGATATTCTAGGTATTATCAACTGGCTGGAGTTTCAAGATCGCAATAGACGTGAAGGACTATAATGCGTTAAGAGCTCGCTCAAGTACTGCGGAGCTAACCCATTTAGTGCTTTATAAGTAATCAGTAATATTTTAAAATGTATACGATGTTTAATAGGCAGCCAATGCAGTGTTGACAGAACCGGCTAATTTGGTCATACTTCCTGGTTCTGGTAAGAACTCGAGCTGCTGCGTTTGACTAGCTGGAGTTTGTTTATTAAGCGTGCAGGGCAATCACCCAGTAGAGCAGTACAGTAATCTAGCCTTGATGTCATGAACGCATGAACTAACTGTTCCGCATTTGTCAATGAGAGCATATGGCGTAATTTAGATATATTTTTAAAGGTCCTGTTCTTCATGTTTTTTTAAGCTTTTATTGTGTTTACAGTATCCAATATAACATGTTTATGTTTCGCGTGTAAAAAAACACTGTATTTTTCACACAATTCACTTATCTGTATACTGCTGTTTTCACCGTCCAAAAAACAGCCCGATCCTTGTTCTATGAAGTCCCTCCTTCAGAAATACGTAACGAGTTCTGATTGTGCCAGCGAACCGCTGTGTTGTGATTCGACAGCAGCTTATCGCACATTGCCCAGAAACGTCACGCCTCTTACCATAAATTGGAGATGCATGCGCAGCTGAAGTGCTTCTTCCCCATGGGAGCGCAACAAGACCACGCCCCCTATTTTTGTGAGAAATTGGTATCTAAGGCTCCATTTACACTGCAGGTCTTGATGCCCAAATCCGATTTTCTGACTAGATCCGATTTTTCTGATGACCTGCTTACATCATCTTTTAAAAGTGACCCATATCCGATTTTTTGCATTTATACTATACACTGCTGAAACTACCAAATGCAGACGCTCTGACCGGGGAAATTAAGTAAAACAGCACGAAATTCAATGGATGCAGATGCAAATAAAATTATCCAGTGTTTTTCTTTCCATAATTTTTTGAAAAGTCATCAAAACATTGGTCTTGTACGGCGGAGAAAAAAAGAGGAGAGGCAATGTAGCCACGAGCGCTTAAAACGGTGCCACATATCTCGTGAATACAGATGTCTTCAAATACAGATTTAGTTCTGTAACAACCCTGCATTTTTGCCCGCACTCTTCGCTCCAAACACTCAAAAGACATGAAACCTCCACTTAAGTGTACCAAAACATAATGGTAAAACATTCACTCGTTTAGGAGAAAAACAGATAACATTTGCTCCTCAGAAAGCAAATATAATAGAAAGAATACATTTTAATAGAACAATTAAAGTTCAATATAGCAATGCTCAATAGAGCTTGACCATCGGTACAGAGAAGTATCATATGTGTTGGACATATGTGTTCACGACGCCTTTAAGATCCATAAACCTTCCTCCTGAGACCAGAGAAAGAGACAAATGGCCTTGTGCACCTAAAAGAAGCTGGTGACTTACATCAGCATGCATTTAAGAATATTATTTCACAAGCAAAAGCACAAAGAATAATATATGTCAATAAATGATTAAGTAATAATGAATATACTCAATTATTGATTTTATGAAAGAAATACATAAGCATTCAAAAGGATATTATGGTTATATATATATATATATATATATATATATATATATATGTGCTGAAGAGGCCAGGGATTTTGACTACCCCTTCAACACTAAGTTTATTTATACGGCATCCCTGGTAAATTAGTCTGATTCACTAAAGTGCCGGCTGCAAACAAACGTGCTACCTTGTTTTATTTTAAAGTTTTAATTCACTTCTTCCTTATACTCAATTCAGTCGGGAATCCATGAAAACTTAAGTAGGGTTGGCGTTGTTGGTTAGATTTACAAAGTGGGACAGAGCAGTGACACATATAGCCTTCGCCATTGTTGAACTGCGTCGGAAGTGGACATAACCCGGAAGTGTTATAATCCCCCATTCACTCACATGATGTTCTTCTCTCAGTCTCTCTTTTCGTCACTGGAAGGATCGTTCTGCTAAATGATCTCATCGATGTTGTAAACTTTGATTGACACGCGTTAACACAAGGGGGAGGTGGAGGCTTGAGTAATTTGCGCAGCTTGCGTAATGTGTGTATAGGGAGGATCGGCACTGGATGCACGTCATCCAGATAAAGGTACTAAGGGCTGGACTAATAAACATGTTGCCATCTTGATTAGGGCAATTATCTTATGGTGAATGTAAATTCATATAATATAGAATTTTGTATTTGTGGATAATAATCTCAGTTTATTTTCACAGATGAATGATGACTGATAAATCCTGGACAAATAAGCATTTCATTCCAATTTTTTTATTTATTTCAGGATGACATCGTCACAGCATGGAAGTGCAGGTCCGTGAATGAGACGCAGGCTTTAGCACTGAAACACAGCAGGCAAACGCTGCTCTACTGTCTCCAGAGTGTTCGTCCCGTGTGTGTGTCGAATCCTGATGTGTGTCAGTTCTACAACAGCAGTGAACAGACTTCATTAACCCTCCGACATCAGGCCTGATGAACATGTACAGGACACAGTCAGCCAGCGGGTTCAGGAGCAGGAGACCTGAAGAAAACTGCTCAAATATATGAAGCAATACCACACTGTTGGAACTGATATTTCTCTGTAAGCTATAATATAAAAAAGCAGGATTACAGAGGGGAGAATGAGAAAAGTGTAAGTCAGAAGCACCAGGAACAAACTGCCCAAAATCTTTCTGCGCTTTACAGAAGTAAGAGATATTGCGCGTGAAAGACCGCGACAAGTGCCGATAAAACACAGAATGATTATCAGGTAGGGGATTAAACAGCCGATCGCTCGGCGCAGAGCGTTAAACAGATAATAGGACTTAAAGTTCGCAAAGATCAGAGGAACAAACCAGACGATCACAGAAATAACACAGCAGACTTTCAGTGAATGATGAGATCTGTACCAGATAGGATGAGAAACCAGAATATATCGTTCAAGAGCAACACATGCCATAAAATACACACCCGCAATCAAACTATAAGTAAATGCCTTGTCTGCATCCCGTGACCTTCTGATTGTCCATGTTGATATACAAATGATCTGAATGAGATCTGACAGAATCAAATGAATCACAAACACTGGAGTGGAGCGCTGAGATTTGAGAAGAGCACACAACGCACACAGAGTTAAGATCATGACTACAATCTCAATGCCGGCAATGGTGCTAAGAATTATTGGGTGTGAAGCAACAAGTTTACTGTAAAATTTCCCCATCTGACGCATCCATTCATCTTCATAATCTCCTCCACTTGATCCATTGATGCTGGTGTTTAGTTCTGCCATTGTTTCATGAAATCTTGACAGGCACTAAATAACAAACCCTTCATTAGTCTTAAAAACATGCATTCATTTACTATTGTAATCATATATTATCTTTATTAAAAACATTAGAGATAAATATATGATGTGACGCTCAGTTTAAATAAATATATAAATGAGTTTGCTCAGTTTGCTTGACATGTTGTTTAGAGGAGTGTGTAATGTTAGAAAGCTTGAAATATGTGAAATGTCAGATTAAAGTTAGTAAATCCTCCATTTGAACAATATGACAGAAGCAAGAATGCTGTTGTTGTGAATATTGAGTCCAGCACAGCTGCAAGTGTACAATGGTTTATTAAAGGAGGAATAAATCTTGAAGAACTTACGTTACTGACAGGAGTGTGTGTTTGGTCTGCAGGTCAAAGCAGAAGTTTGTGGAATAACACACAGACTGACAGATGTTTCACAAGTTTCCACTGAGCTCTTCATTCACTGCACACACTGGAGAAACACACATCTTAAAGCTTGTTGATCTAACGGAGGAAATGCCTGGAGGACATGGGAGCAAAATATATATATATATATACTATTATAGCCAGAATTGTATATTGGGGCAATATATATATTATAGCCAGAATTGTCTAATAAATTACAAATTACATAAGCAGAGAGTCTTATTTATTTCGTTTTGAATTGTTCTGTTTAAAAGTAGACACATGTGAAGCGAGTAGGCCTACCTTTTATGCTGAGTTTTGTTCATTTATAGCTATAGTTAGCCTATTTACCTCTTATTTATTAAAAGCTTTCTGTGTGATGTCTGTGTGAAAGTTTTTAAGTATCTTTTAGTGCCGCTTTCAGAGCGCTCAAGTCCACATTGTTTTTTTTCTCTGTGGGAATACAATAAAATAAAATTAATATTTTATTTATGCGGAGACTGAGGGTCAACCCTTCTTCATCTGGTGGATACCGTAGGCTAGTATTACTGTGGTTTGCAGAATGTAGCCTAATTCACCGGCTACCTTGATGTGATTTCATAGGCTAGTGCTTTTTATTGCGTACAGAAATGGACCATGGTGAATATATCAGCTTGTCAACCCTATTTGAATATTTAAAACCAGTTGAATATAAAAAGTCCAGTGCAAGTTAATGTTACTCCGCTCGTCATCGGCAGCTGACGGTCACAGTTTCGACAAGAACAATTCTCCGTGGACAAGTCCGAGCGCTTCAGACGCGCACTTTCATATGGGGGGACGCAGCTGTAGTTAACAATTTAATATTGTGACAATAGACCAACATTTTGTTAGCCTACTTTAATTTTCAAAATAACCAGTGGGGGAATGAACTTCTCAGCCTACTTCATAGGCTATTCACGTAAATGTAAATGTGAAGTAGCCTACTTTCCCCCCTCACAGGACAGCAACACTACGCATTGGTTTACATTAAAATACACTAAAGCAGGCAATCCTATAGTTTAAATGTATCAACCAAACAATCAGATGCCAATACAAAAATAAACAACGTCCAGAGCCATGAATTTTATTTCATTTAACACATTTAAAGTTGCGTTAAATAATAAATTATGAATAATAATGTACAGAAATGTATTTTTTCGTTTTCGCGTTTCCACAAGACAAATAAAGCCACACAATGGTGACAGCGCAATGACTTATGGGGTAGGATAGGCCACGTAGGATCAGGTAGGATGCATTTATGTATCCTCTCTTTCTCAGCAAAATGAAGGGTGCATTTGGGCGTCGCTTTTGAATCAGGGTAGCCTTCGTCGCGCCGCGATGATGCAACCAGCCTTCAAATACGGCCTTCGGAGGATGCATAACTGAATTGGGACAGCCTTCCTAGCGCGGCTGTGACGCAATCGGCCTTCAAATGCGCCCTTCGGAGGATGCAGCCTTCACATTGGGACACAGCTTGTGTCAAGCAGACGCCAGGAGATGAAGATTCTCCCCAGAAGTCCCTGCTGAGGTTTAGTTGCTGTTTGCACACATTTGTCTGACTTAACCTCCTGGGGTCGACGCCGGCGTGATTGTCTCTCTTTTCCTTATCAGTGCAAAAGAGACTCAAATAACTCTGTCCACTAATAATAAAAACAAAATGTTGTGTTTTTCGTAAAATAAACATGATGCGCGTTCTCCCTTCTCTCTCAATTTGAAGTTCATTCTGAAACGTGACATAAAATGATCTTTAACTCTGCAAATACTTGCCACACACACGTGAGAGTTATGTCTTTACAAAGCTTAAAGTCTCCATTTTTAAATGATGTAAATCATAAGTATTAAGTAATCCGTATGAAATTAGAATTATCGATATCGACCGACATGAAACTCTGATATCGTGGTAAAGTTTTCAGGCATATCGCCCAGCCCTAGGTTAACGCCTCCCCGCTTAAAGCCATCTTCCCCAAAACAGGTCAAAAAATCTCTACAAGACTTGTCTTGTCTGAATGAGTAGTCAGGAAGATTTTCACATAGTTTTGGAGCAAATACTCTAGGCTCTGTGATACAATTTTCAAAAGTCTTGTGAAGAAATAATCAGGATGGGTTTTATGACCTTATTTCAGTGACTTTTGTTTTTTTGTTTTTCACAAAGCACGCATAAACGTCATTATCTCAAAACTACAACATTTTACATACATACTGCTGACATATTATTGTAGCAGAGTTTGTGCTAAATACAGTGTAATAATACTTTAGCCTTGAAAATGTCACAAGTAACAGAAAAAAAAGCACACGTCAGAGCATGTCAGAACACCTCTAGGACCCAGAAACCAGCTCAGACCCCTAAGGGTTACAACAACTAACACATTGTGAAATTATGCATCTAAAACACAATTAGTTATTATAGTAGCTATTTTCTGTGCTGAAGTCTGAGTGCAGAGACGAGTGTGTTTAATCTCATCTCACCTCTGCTATTGTCACGGGCTGGTCAAGGAGGACGACGAGGAGGGTAGAATTAACACGAATACTTTAATTAATGAAGCTCAGGAGCAGGCAGACAGGTTGACAGCATGTAACACACAAACAATACCGGACAAGGGAGTGAAGATAGACAGGAACTTAAATACACAGTGACGGTGATTAACAAATGACAATCAGCTGTGCGGGAGGTGATGAGTGTCCATGGCAACAGATGAGGGCGGAGAACTCAGACGAGGGGAACACGTGGTGAATCAAAACACAGACAGTCCAAGGGTGGTGACAGATCGCCCCCCTCCGGCAAGGCGCGACCAATGACGGAGGGGAAGCCGGGGGAGGTTCAGGTGGAGGACGAAATGATGGTGACACACAGATGAGAGGCTGGAGTGACGGGACGGTGAGGGGACGATGACGATTCCCTGGCGGCCTAGATGGGGATGGCGCGGTGGCGCAGACCCAGAGCCTCCCAGTACCGACAGCCGATGGCAGAGAAGACGGAGGGAAGAAACCAGATGGCGAGGGGACTGACGGTAGCTGGGGGATGACCGACGGAGACTCGGTGGCAGGATCTCTCGGCGCAGACGGAGAGCCGGTGGACTCAAGCGACGTCACCGGTATAGGAGACTCCGGCGACGAGCGCTGGAGCCGTAGTCAGAGTGCCCGAGAGCTGAGGTGGAGGTGGAGTGAGGGAGGACAGAGGGGACGCCACAGGGAAGGAGGAGCCCGCTGAAGCCGAAGGGGTGGAGGGATCACGCGTAGCAGACTGACCGCAAGTCCGTGGCGCAGGCAGAGTGACGACTGACCAAGGGGGAGCCGGCAGGACGAGGGAACCCGCTGCAGCCGATGTCTTGAGGGTCTCAGGCGGAGGTGCAGGTGGGAGGAGCCAAGACGGAGCCGGCAGGTCGACTGGCCGAGATGGAGTGCCGAGGACCGAGGCTGGAGGCGAAGCCGTGGGATCCTCGAACACAGGCGCTGCGGATGGTGGGCTGACCTGCCGCTCGACGTCGGGGACTCCCCACGGAGATGGTGCAGGGCTGCGCACATCCAGCAGCGGCGAGGCTGGAGGACTGACTGGGAACGGAGATGGAACAGCGTGAACCAGACAGACAGCAGGACAGAAGTCATCACAGGATGATTCAAAATATGAAAGAGATGCAGATGACGGGTGGGATAGGGCGGGAACGATATCCAGAATCCTGGGTTTCATCAGCCAGTCCTCCAGTTCCAGGAAATTAGTCCCCTCGTCCGCAGATGTTGTGGGCTCACACCCCTGGTCAGACTCCTGATGGAGCTCCTCCTCCGGGGCGAGGGTCAACTCTGTCCTCTTCGTCTCGGGCACTGGTTGACACGTCGCGGCGGGTGGTAGCTCTCCGTCTGCGGGGGGCACGCACAAGATCTCCGCGGTCAAGGGTGGTAATTCCGGCTCTGGGTCTGGCAGTGTTCTGGATCGGGCCTCGACGCTCTCCAGACACCGGGAAACGGCCTCCTTCCAGTTCAGGTTAGAGGTGTCTGGGAGGTCGAAGTGCTGGTGGTAGGTGGCCCCGATCCAGAACAGGGTCTTCAGGGTTTCATCATCGAGGGAGCTGGAGAGTGCAAGGGAAACAAAGTCTCTGGAAAACGAAATAAAATCTGATGATAATTCAGCGAGATTGATGAAATCGATGTTCATCTTGAGGTTTTGGTCCGGTATTCTGTCACGGGCTGGTCAAGGAGGACGACGAGGAGGGTAGAATTAACACGAATACTTTAATTAATGAAGCTCAGGAGCAGGCAGACAGGTTGACAGCATGTAACACACAAACAATACCGGACAAGGGAGTGAAGATAGACAGGAACTTAAATACACAGTGACGGTGATTAACAAATGACAATCAGCTGTGCGGGAGGTGATGAGTGTCCATGGCAACAGATGAGGGCGGAGAACTCAGACGAGGGGAACACGTGGTGAATCAAAACACAGACAGTCCAAGGGTGGTGACAGCTATAGACATCTGAGGATCAGGACTAATGGAAGCGGATTCTCTCAGTCTCAGTAGGAAAATGGGTTAGCAACGTGTCCATTTCTGCTGCCTTTGAGGCGTTCGTGTAAAAATCTGTTTATGCCATTGTTTTGCAAAGCTGCAAGTCCTAGTTGTCCTGGCATACAATATTTCGCACTACTCCTAATGTTTTTAAATCTTTTTAATGGGATAGTTTGGCCAAAAATGAAAATGAATCATTTTGAATCAATGAATCAAAATGAAATGAAATTCTTCCTTGTATGCCTGAGACGAGAGTTCAAGAGATTTCCACGACGCATGCGCGAGAACTACGATCTACTCCTACTCCTTCTAGTTGTGTTCTTGCGCATGCGTCGTGGAAATCTCTTGAAGTCTCTTCTCAGGCCCAGAATGAATAGTCGAATAAAGTCGTTATTTTTGTTTGTTTTTTTTTTTTCGTACAAAAAGTATTCTCGTCGCTTGATAAACTTATAGTTGAGCCACTGTTGTCACATGGAATATTTAAACATTTTCTTTATTGACTTTCTGGCCCGTCAAGTTTCGATCCTTTAGGAGCCTATGTAGCAGTGATCCACCTCTCAGATTTAATCAAAAATATCTTCATTTGTGTTCCGAAGATGAACGAAGGTCTTACGGGGTTGGTACAGCATGGGGGTGAGTAATTAATGACTTAATTTTCATTTTTGGGTGAACTAACCCTTTAACAGAGGTGAGGAGAGTGCATGTTGGGATGGTCACAATAGACACGCTCATGGGAAACAGCCTAGGTTTAAATAATCCACATTTATCTCCTCTAATGCTCACAGGCTGCTCTATTGCTAATAATAACTATCAGTGAGTTTGACTGAACTCTGCTCACTGTCAGTGGTGTCGGGCTTCTTCTAATCTCATGATCAGTGAAACTCATGGAGTGCTGTATAGCGGCGACAGATATAGACATTTCCCGATGCGACCGATTAGTACAGACCAAAACTTGACGAGCATTTTTCAGCAGAAATAATCAGCCAAATTTGCGAGTCCGTTCAGTTCAATGGCATTGTTTATGTTCTGTGGCTCCAAAATGGTCGACTTCCGGATTGATGACGTGTCGCGCGAAAACCCTCTATAGTAAGTAAAGTACAGTGTTTTCAGTTGAAAATCATAGACAGATGTCAGAATAAATCGTTGCCATAAAGAAGGCAATCTTCATTTGTAAATGTTTTAGAAGTAAAACTGAATGACTTTAAAGAAGTCTTTAAAATAATAATACAGATCTTAAACGAAAGAAGTGACATTCTTGACTGGGTTATTCTTGGACCAGTAAATCTTAGTCTCCTAGTTGATTGTAGAAATGGGGCCGGTGTGAGACACAGGGAACCTTATCAAACAACGGGGTGTCTCAAACGTCCACAGGTGGATGCAGTTATCTGATGTGGAGACAGTGACAACATGTTTATGATGTTAGTAAGCCTTGGGCAAGGAAAATGCAGAGATGTCAGGGTATTGGGACAAAGGCATGGTGTCGGCTTAAGATGAAGACAACTAAAAAGTCTGAATAACAATTACAATTACAATTACATTCTGTCTAAATTACAGTCCTAGAAGGCTGTGGTAAGATTAGGCTATTCGTCTGTAGAGAGAGACAGAGACTGCTGAGAGGAGGAAGGTGACTCTCTGCTTCAGTCGGCCAGAGAAGATGAAGGACCTGAAACTGGTTAAGAGGCCATGGAAAATAATTAGATAAGCTACAGGAAAATGCAAGGGAAATTAAAAAAGTTATTTATTTTAAAGAAAAGATATGAATATATAAATGTGAGCGGTTCACAGTCAGTTATAAGTGTGTCTGATGGTGACAGCACTTTATGTTTTGTATGTGTTACGCTCCACCTGAATAGTATGTTGCCTTGCTTTTGGCTTGCTTAGTTGGGGTTATTTAATATTCAACAATATTATTGATCTGTCTTGTACTACTTTCATGTTATCACTGTGAAGCTGCTTTGATACAATCTGTATTGTGAAAAGCGCTATATAAATAAATGTGACTTGACTTGACTTATGTTGTGTCATTAGAAACTGGTTAAAGCAAATGTCGAACTTTAATGAAGCTGATAATTCTGATGAAAAGACAGTACAGAATATAGAATGAGCTTTAAGTTGATTGGTCGTCAAGCTCTGTCTGATCAGTGCTACTTTTGGCATGTATGATGAAGAATTAAAGTTCGTCCGGATCAGTTTGGTACTGATGGAAGTTGGAATCGTGAAGTTGTAAAAGAAGTCATGGGTTGAGATAAACGAAAAGGAAAACGATATTAGGTTTAGGCTTAAATATCGAATTATCAAGAGAGCCCTTAACAATTATGATTGGGGGAAATGATTGACTGACACATGGACCGAGTCTGTCCAGCACGACCTGACCGGATAGAGACATTTGACGAGACTTTGGAAATGTCTGTAGATGACTGACTTAAGGGACCTACAACAGGCCTGAAAAGCAGGATAAAATGTGAAACTCTGAGCCGTTGGCCTTAAAATACTTTGTTAAAAAGATGAGATTGTGTTTTTGCATTGTATGTTTTGTTCCAGAGACAGAAAAATGTCTGGAGGAAAAATGGCTTATGGAAACACTTCTAGATGCTATTTATTCTAGGCCATGTATCTTGTGTAAACTGGAATAACTGTTTTACTAGAATTTGATAGCAATTTCAAGTTGCATGTGTGTCTATGCTGAATCTGTCTCCTTAGTGGAAAACTCTGCGTTATATGCATTGAGAAATTGTGGAGTGGTGCAGTTCATCATAGCATGACACTACATAATTTGGTGTGACATTCAGCGTTGTGCCAGTAAAAATACTTCCTTAATTATAAAAATCAACGGAACACACGGGAAATAGTATCAGCAAGAGTCACAAGCATTTTCATAGATTTATAACCGGGTTTAACATAATTAATCTAAAATATCTGGAAAGGCTGAGGAGAGATGACTTAGCAAAACAGTAGAAAATAAAAAAATCAGGCCTATATGTCTCCCAGCCCAATGCACTGTGAACTAATATTTTATTAAAGGGGTCATATAAAGGTATATTCACTTTTACAAGTTGATTGTACTGCAATGTGTGTTGTCAGTGCCGGTACACAACCATCATTTAATGATAAAATCCATCCAGTGGTTTTGTTTTAATCTCCTCATTTGGAGATTAAAACAAATATTACGAGTTATCTGCACAAAATGACGTGAATGCACAATCGATCTTGTGCTGGTCATAATGTGTAGGCTAATCCCTGTTCTGGACGCGCTATTCAACAACAACGCGCTAAACCCAGAGAATTCACAACGTTTTATCTCAATAGTGTTCTCATCTTAATGGCGTGTATATGACAGTCCCAATCATAGTTATAAATGTGCATTGCTGTTTGAGCAGTGCGCATGCTATATATAAAGATGATCTCCGGTACAATGAAGCGCGCATCGTTCATTAACTCAACCAAACGCATCCTATATTAGATTAATCAGATATATATACACAAAATAAACATTATAATTTACTGGGGGGGGTTTGACTGCGATTTGACTTTTTTCATTTTAAATAGTGTGTAATGTTGCTGTTGGTGCATGAACAGTTTCTGCAAAGTTGCAGCGCTGAAAGTTCAGTGTAAGCAGAGATATCGTCTTTTAAAAATCAGGAAGTATATTGCCTACAAAAACGACTGGATTGGGACTACAGCTGGGTTATGGTACGTCACTAACCCACACATTTACATCAACCACTCCCTCCGGAATATGCAGAAAAGGGCATGGCCAGTGGTGTAGTGCGGGGTATACGCAGGTATACGGCGTATACCCACTTCCTTTTCAGTCGGCATTGCATATACCCACTTCTAAATCCACTCTGATATGCATCATTTAGTTGCTAATCCAATTTCGTGAATAAAAAAAAAAAACACCCAATTAGGGTCGCACCCGTAATATTAACTCTAATTAGTTGCTGCAATGATTCTCCCATTGCGACGATAACGGACCTTCTCATCTGATCTGCTTCAGCACTCAAACACCTGCTCGTCAATGTCAAAATGTTCGTGAGACCAATCAAATAATGCAGTATATTTGTTCACAGAAGCGCGAATCCCAACGCGACGCTTCACTTCAGTTAACGATCATACAGTGCGAGATAAGATGCAAGTAGCTCAAATTTACGGCTGTTTTTCAATAGACGTTTTACATGACCGACAGAAATAATCAGTTTGATTAAAGACAGTGGGAATTATAAGCTCAATTTAACAACACAAGCACCCTATTAAATATATTGCCATAACGTTTTTTCGAATGTGTTTGAGTTTTCACTGCTTGTATAACTCCACTTATCTGTGTTTGCACCACTTGCATCATTAAGCCAGAGGGCAGGCGACAAGTGACTGTCTTTTTGAGTGAGCAATTGAACTATTAATTAAATTAACAGATTAGTCGAAAAACATTGATTAATTTAGGAAAGAAAAGTCGCTGAAACTGGAACTGATTCTCATGTTTAAGAATCTGATCAAATAAGCTACTTCATGCTTTTAAAGCTACCGTTGTCTGTTATTTTTGGCCATCAAAACACCTTAAAATGCTCATTTCGAAATCAGGAAATCTACATTTTCTCGGGGGGGGGGGGGGGGGGGGGGTTCATGCCTCCGAACCCCCCTAAAAATATAATTTATGGGACCTGGCACCTGGGTATTTAGAAAAACATATGTATTCTGCTCTTGCTTTGATGGGTTAGTGTAGCAGATAGCTAACATAAGACCCAATAAATAAAGACCCAGGAAACCGGAGTAGAGAGAGGCCTTTAGTAAGGATCTTTCCAATTTTGTAAAACTGTGAAAACATAATAACATGGCATTACAAACTGCCCATATATACATATACGTGAATATGCAACTCAAGTCTAACATATATAGCTATCCCATAAGAAAAATTAGTCATTTTAAAGAGACTTGTAGGACTAGTTAGCATTTAAGCTAACATTAACATGGATGTCTATGGAGAAATGCTAATCGCGATTAGCATCTATTAATACAACATACATATTATGCTAAAACGGACAATACTCAAAGAATATAGCAAAGTAAATATACTTTTTACAGAAATACTTACAGACTTAGACCTTCAAAAACTACCAAGGCAAAGAGAAAAGAGTAACTGCTGCGAGACCTCTCAGTAGATCAGAGTCAGAAGCACACGGGCAAAAATAACGGCAAGAGAGGAGGGACTAAATATGAGAACTCAAATGCAATATAAATTTACACCACTAGATGTCTCTAATGCAACACAAAGAGGGGCAGAACAATATGTGCAGCCCTGATATGCAAGAGTACTGATTCTACATGTTCTATTGTATTCACTCTATTCTATAGTCTTACGTATTCATACTACTGCAAGACTAGTAGTCTTACATGTCACTGTTTATAACACGCATTCATCCTTTGCTGGAACTCTTAAAAAAATATTGGGGGCATAAATTAAGAGTATACCCACTTCTCCAGGCACCACTACATCACTGGGCATGGCCATATTTCAGCAGCTCCAGCTCGTCGAGTGTGTTGTTCACGCAGCTGTCAGGTCTTCTGTGTTCGGCTTCCCAGAGATGCTGTACTTCGTCAACAATGGATACAATTTATATTTGATTATGTTCCTGAAAATGATGATCGTAATCTTTCTAACTTTCATTGCAGCATGGTCAAATTGAGCCAAGACTACGGTGGCCCAATAGCGTACAACAAAAACTCAAATCTAAATTCCCTGAAGCCCTAGACTCAATTAAACTACCATTCTATATGTACTAATGATCTATCTATCTATCTATCTCTTTCTTTCTTTCTTTCTTTCTTTCTTTCTAACTAATCTATCCATCTTTCTTTCTATCAAATCTATCGTTCTTTCTTTCTAACTAATCTATCCATCTTTCTTTCTAACTAATCTATCGTTCTTTCTTTCTAACTAATCTATCCATCTTTCTTTCTAACTAATCTATCGTTCTTTCTTTCTAACTAATCTATCCATCTTTCTTTCTAACTAATCTATCCATCTTTCTTTCTAACTAATCTATCGTTCTTTCTTTCTAACTAATCTATCCATCTTTCTTTCTAACTAATCTATCCATCTTTCTTTCTAACTAATCTATCCATCTTTCTTTCTAACTAATCTATCCATCTTTCTTTCTAACTAATCTATTAATCTTTCTTTCTATCAAATCTATCCATCTTTCTTTCTAACAAATCTATCCATCTTTCTTTCTAACTAATCTATCCATCTTTCTTTCTAACTAATCTATCGTTCTTTCTTTCTAACTAATCTATCCATCTTTCTAACTAATCTATCCATCTTTCTTTCTAACTAATCTATCCATCTTTCTTTCTAACTAATCTATCGTTCTTTCTTTCTAACTAATCTATCGTTCTTTCTTTCTAACTAATCTATCCATCTTTCTTTCTAACTAATCTATCGTTCTTTCTTTCTAACTAATCTATCCATCTTTCTTTCTAACTAATCTATCCATCTTTCTTTCTAACTAATCTATCGTTCTTTCTTTCTAACTAATCTATCCATCTTACTTTCTAACTAATCTATCCATCTTTCTTTCTAACTAATCTATCGTTCTTTCTTTCTAACTAATCTATCCATCTTTCTTTCTAACTAATCTATCCATCTTTCTTTCTAACTAATCCATCCATCTTTCTAACTAATCTATCCATCTTTCTTTCTAACTAATCTATCCATCTTTCTTTCTAACTAATCTATCCATCTTTCTTTCTAACTAATCTATCCATCTTTCTTTCCAACTAATCTATCCATCTTTCTTTCTAACTAATCTATCCATCTTTCTTTCCAACTAATCTATCCATCTTTCTTTCTAACTAATCTATCGTTCTTTCTTTCTACCTAACTAATCTATCCATCTTTCTTTCTAACTAATCTATCCATGTTTCTTTCTTTCTAACTAACTAATCTATCCATCTTTCTTTCTAACAAATCTATCCATCTTTCTTTCTAACTAATCTATCCATCTTTCTTTCTACTTAACTAATCTATCCATCTTTCTTTCTAACAAATCTATCCATCTTTCTTTCTAACTAATCTATCCATCTTTCTTTCCAACAAATCTATCCATCTTTCTTTCTAACTAATCTATCCATCTTTCTTTCTAACTAATCCATCCATCTTTATTTCTTAACTAAATCTCTCCATCTTTCTTTCTAACTAATCTATCCATGTTTCTTTCTTTCTAACTAACTAATCTATCCATCTTTCTTTCTAACTAATCTATCCATCTTTCTTTCTAACTAATCTATCGTTCTTTCTTTCTAACTAATCTATCCATCTTTCTTTCTAACTAATCTATCCATCTTTCTTTCTAACTAATCTATCCATCTTTCTTTCTAACTAATCTATCCATCTTTCTTTCTAACTAATCTATCCATCTTTCTTTCTAACTAATCTATCGTTCTTTCTTTCTAACTAATCTATCCATCTTACTTTCTAACTAATCTATCCATCTTTCTTTCTAACTAATCTATCGTTCTTTCTTTCTAACTAATCTATCCATCTTTCTTTCTAACTAATCTATCCATCTTTCTTTCTAACTAATCCATCCATCTTTCTTTCTATAATCTATCCATCTTTCTTTCTAACTAATCTATCCATCTTTCTTTCTAACTAATCTATCCATCTTTCTTTCTAACTAATCTATCCATCTTTCTTTCCAACTAATCTATCCATCTTTCTTTCTAACAAATCTATCCATCTTTCTTTCTAACTAATCTATCGTTCTTTCTTTCTACCTAACTAATCTATCCATCTTTCTTTCTAACTAATCTATCCATTTTCTTTCTTTCTACTAACTAATCTATCCATCTTTCTTTCTAACAAATCTATCCATCTTTCTTTCTAACTAATCTATCCATCTTTCTTTCTACTTAACTAATCTATCCATCTTTCTTTCTAACTAATCTATCCATCTTTCTTTCTAGCAAATCTATCCTTCTTTCTTTCTAACTAAATCTATCCATCTTTCTTTCTAACAAATCTATCCTTCTTTCTTTCTAACTAATCTATCCATCTTTTCTTCTACTTAACTAATCTATCCATCTTTCTTTCTAACTAATCTATCATTCTTTCTTTCTAACTAATCTATCCATCTTTCTTTCTAACAAATCTATCCATCTTTCTTTCCAACTAATCTATCCATCTTTCTTTCTAACTAATCTATCCATCTTTCTTTCTACTTAACTAATCTATCCATCTTTCTTTCTAACTAATCTATCCATCTTTCTTTCTAACTAATCTATCCATCTTTCTTTCTACTTAACTAATCTATCCATCTTTCTTTCTAACTAATCTATCATTCTTTCTTTCTAACTAATCTATCCATCTTTCTTTCTAACAATTCTATCCATCTTTCTTTCTAACTAATCTATCCTTCTTTCTTTCTAACTAATCTATCCTTCTTTCTTTCTAACTAATCTATCCTTCTTTCTTTCTAACTAATCTATCCATCTTTCTTTCCAACTAATCTATCCTTCTTTCTTTCTAACTAATCTATCCATCTTTCTTTCTACTTAACTAATCTATCCATCTTTCTTTCTAACTAATCTATCATTCTTTCTTTCTAACTAATCTATCCATCTTTCTTTCTAACAAATCTATCCATTTTCTTTCTAACTAATCTATCCATCTTTCTTTCTAACAATCTATCCATCTTTCTTTCTAACTAATCTATCCATCTTTCTTTCTAACAAATCTATCCATCTTTCTTTCTAACTAATCTATCCATCTTTCTTTCTAACAAATCTATCCATCTTTCTTTCTAACTAATCTATCTTTCTTTCTAACAATCTATCCATCTTTCTTCTAACTAATCTATCCATCTTTCTTTCTAACAAATCTATCCATCTTTCTTTCTAACTAATCTATCCATCTTTCTTTCTAACAAATCTATCCATCTTTCTTTCTAACTAATCTATCCATCTTTCTTTCTAACTAATCCATCCATCTTTCTAAATAATCTATCATTCTTTCTTTCTAACAAATCTATCGTTCTTTCTTTCTACCTAACTAATCTATCCATCTTTCTTTTCTAACAAATCTATCCATCTTTCTTTCTAACAATTCCATCTTTCTTTCTAACAAATCTATCCATCTTTCTTTCTAACTAATCTATGCATCTTTCTTTCTAACAATTCTTTCTTTCTTTTTCTTTCTTTCTTTCTTTCTTTCTTTCTTTCTAACAATTCCATCTTTCTTTCTTTTAAACAAATCTTTTTCTTTCTTTCTTTCTTCCTTTCTTTCTTGATACTAATAACATGCTAATCATGCTAGCTTTATGCTAATCATGTTAGCTTCTTGCTAAAAACATAATAGCATGATGCTAGCTACATGTTAATCATGCTAGCTTCTTGCTAAAACATGCTAGCATGATGCTAGCAACATGTCAATCATGCTAGCATGATGCTAGATACATGCTAATCATGCTAGCTTCTTGTTAAAAACATGCTAGCATGATGCTAGCATAATGCTAATCATGTTATTATGATGTTAGCTACATGCTAATCATGCTAGCATGATGCTAGCTACATGCTGATCATGCTAGCTTCTTGTTAAAAACATGCTAACATGATGCTAGCAACATGCTAATCATGTTAGCTTCTTGCTAGCAACATGCTAATCATGCTAGCATGATGCTAGCTACATGCTAATCATGCTAGCAACATGCTAATCATGTTATTATGATGCTAGCTACATGCTAATCATGCTAGCATGATGCTAGCTACATGCTATTCATGCTAGCTTCTTGCTAAAAACATGCTAGCATGATGCTAGCTACATGCTAGTCATGCTAGCTTCTTGCCAAAAACATGCTAGCATGATGCTAGCAACATGTTAATCATGCTAGCTTGATGCAAGCTACATGCTAATCATGCTAGCTTCTTGCTAGCAACATGCTAGTCATGCTAGCATGATGCTAGCTACATGCTAGTCATGCTAGCTTCTTGCTAAAAACATGCTAGCATGATGCTAGCAACATGCTAATCATGCTATTATGATGCTAGCAACATGCTAATCACACTAACAACATGCTAATCATCTTAACTACATGCTAATCATATTAGCATCAAGCTAGCTACATGCTAATCATGTTCGCTTCTTGCCAAAAACATCTATCTATCTATCTATCTATCTATCTATGTATTTATCTGTCACAGTCTGCGTCTGCACCATCCTGTCTGCGTCTCCTGCACTACACTTCCCATGATCCTCTCGTCTGCACACCTGAACTCACTCCCTCATCAGCCTCCCATTCAGCGTCCTGTTTCATCTGTTTCACC